TCTCCAACACTCGAGGAGATTTTCGGAGCGCGAGCCGGCCTGAGCACATTAAAAACACACGGCGATTGAAATGGGCGCATTGAGATGAGCGGAGCTGGCTGCGGCGCGGACTCGCTCTTGAGGTCAAGTGACGGACGGATGGTGTGCTTCTTCATAATAATATTAATTAAACAATTTGCATGCTAATAAGGTAACAATTATCAGGGCCTCTGTTGAAAGATTCAGGTTATTACAACACGCCAATCTGAAGGCCAGGGGTCAGAGAGTGAGAGGCGAGAGAAATTTCAACTCAAATTAACATTCTGTCAGCTCCAGAAAATGGGATAAATAAAGTCGAATTAATTCATTATAATAAAGAGAGATGGGCGCGGAGCTCGGCCGGCGCCCGCCCCTCCTCTGCCCTCCCCTCGGGCCGAATTGATCACAGCTCGGTATTCAGAAGCACGCGCCAAGCGCATTCCTGCTTGCGAGCGGGACAGAAAACCAGGCGGTCGTGTCTACGGGCAAGATCGAGCCGGATGCACAGAGTTTACGTTTAGTATTTATAGAGAAAGAAATTAAATTATGGCGAAAAGTAGTGCTCTTGGCCCCTGACCTCAGAAGTAACACTTGCAGCGTTCTCCTAGTGCGAAACCAGGAAAGGGGTCCCCACGTTCCGAGCTGCCTCCTGGCTCCCTGGCATTTCGGGCCTGTCCCCAGTTCTGCACCCTTCTCTCCTTCACCAGGAGAGAGCCATTACGTGGAATTCCACCAGCCCAGCACCCTCCGGTTAAAATCTGGTCCGGCTTTCCTGCAGTAGTAGCAGGAGGACCCCCAGTGGTTCGGGGGTGAAGCTGGCTCCAGTGGGGGACCTCCTCCCCTCACTCCCGCTGCAGCAGTTACCTGCACCCCTTCCAGGCAGACACACAGAGATAGGTACAGACCAGTCCATGGTGCACAGTTCTGGCCTGCCTTTCCCTCTTCCTTCGCCTGCTGGGGACTCAGAGCCCTGGCCCAAGTCACTTATACCAAAAGCCAATTTGTCTGTTGCTTTGCCCTGGGGCTGAAGCTACTGCGAAGGGAATCAGGACTGGCCATGGGCTGTCTGCCTCCTACCAAAGTCAGGCTGGGCTGAAGAGGGTCAAAGAGCCAGGGTCATGAATTTGGAGCCAGCAAGATGCTATCTTCCCCGCGATAAACTTATATACGTTTAAGTTTGTATGTGTACATATGTATATATGTATCCATGTATATCCTGATTTCCTCCCTCTCTGCCCAGTCCCAATTCACTGCTTATTTAAGAATATGTCCTTTAATGATTTAGCTTTGAGTCTATCAATATTTTATAGTGGAGAAGGGAGTGACACTTCACTGAGAACATAATTATAATAAATGGGCTGGGTACCTCAGCCCCATTCTTCAGAGGCTGAGTCAAAGAGAGATGTATTTATTTTTTAATTCGTATGTAGGGGACTATGATAGGCCATCACCTCAAAGTTACTTTTCCCTTCCTCTTTCCACTCTTTTCTCCTCCGCCCTGCAGGCTGCGGGACTCATAGGGTGGGAGTAAGGTGGGATCAGCGCGCCCCCTCAACCACCCACCCCTGTCTATAATGATAAGGTGACTGCCAATCAATCAAAGAGGGCATTAATTAAGCCTCTTTTATTGACTGAGCCACATTCTGCCAGCCACTCTCTTTTGGAAGCGCTCTCCTCCCCTCTCTCCTCCTCTCCTTCCTCCTCCCCCTCCTCCTCCGCCTCTTTCTCCTCCTCTCTCTTTCCTCCTCTCGCCCGCCGCCTGGAGTCGGAGAGGAGGCGATGAGAAGCCCTTGTAGTTTTAAATTCAATGTGACAGTTTCGGAAAGAGCGGATGATGAATCTCCTATTATTGGATCAGTCTATTTGCCGCTCAATGTCTCTCTGTAATTGGAGCAACATCACTTTAAAGGTTCACAGAGTACAGCATTTCTGGTGAAAAATCCCCACAACACGCCGGTGAATGTTTTAAAGGGAAATCTATTAGTGATTTGCGGAAGGGCGGGAGCGCGTGGGGGCTGGAGTTGGGGGCTCGCCGGGGCTCTGCCCGGCCGCTCGGAGCCGCCCGCCCCGCGCTGGGCGGCGCCCCTCCCTCCCCGCCTCCCGCCCCCACCCCGTCTTGTTGTGACAGTTCCTGATACTGTTTATTGAGGTGCATGTCAGGTATAATTAGCAATCGATATGGAAAACGTTTCCTTGCACCCAGCACGCCTCTGACGTCAGAGCCGATTAGCGCTTCTTATTGGTCCCAAATTCCCCCGGCCGCGGCTAATTATCGGGAGCTTGATGTTGATAAAGTAAAGCGCCGGAGTGCGGGCGAAGCATGTGTAAGGCTCGGGGTCCCTGTCTCCGCCGCCGTCCGCGCCTCCC